CGCCGTGGTAATCTATTTGGTAGCATACGTAACACATACCCCAATCAATCTAATCTATGGAAATTGATCACTGGCTCCAGTGGGCGACCGTAACAGTTACAACTTTTCAGTTTGAACAACCATTGGCCATGCACTTTTTGTGCACTGGTTTTAGTTGTTGTTTTCTGGCTACCTATTTGATTGAAGTAATAGAAGAAAAAAACAGGAACAATGAAAGTAGAGTCAAAGAGAAAGTAGAAAGAAACTGAAAAGATTTACGATCGCCCTATTGTTCAGGACTTTCAGCCATGTCACTCGGAGTCTTCAGTACAATGACCTCGGGGTCCTCATCCAGGGAACCTTAAGCAACCTATTAAACTGGCTAGGGTTTTCAAACCCCCGTGCAAAGTATTATTTTGACCAGCCTTGAGTTTTTCCCAACCACCAACTGCCTCGGTAAACATCGCGCGCCGTGGCAACCTATTCTCTGTAAAAAAAAACATATCGCCATTGTTGAAAAACGTTTTTTTATTTCTAATTTGATGTTATTCTTTTATTGTTTTAAATGTATATTCATAGTTTCATGTATCCGGCACGTTTAAGGCTCACACGACAAAACATCGAAAAAGCTGAAACTCGCTTTTCAAATTCAAGTCAACACCGTTAATCGCCTTCTGCTCGGGGACCCACAAAATGACTGGGGATTCAACTGTCACACAGTGTGGATTTGATCAGGCCTATCGAACCCCGTCCAATCGGAACGAACTGATTTCTCCATAGACAAACAAAAGTACTTTTTGAGCGAAAAACCGAACGAGAATGAAAGCTTCGGTGAGTCATGGTTTGTCTGTTCCTCCACTGTTCCACGAACGACATGTGCTTGACTGTGGGATTCGCAGTAGATTGCGATGGGTGGGATTCACTTGAAGTTGGAAAGGTATAGAAAACTGTGTAATTTATGCTTCAAAGTAACTGTTTGGCTGTAGGAGATGATGGCTTTGAATTATCTATTCACTAAGAGGTCATTACTTACCATGAAATCAGTTTGACTGTGTTGCCGGATGGCACACCCAAACTACAGTCCACACAAAGTAGGCTCATGGTACGTTTTCCCGTCGCATCTGTAGAGACGTATGCATCCTCCTTGTTCAATGGAAGCATAATTGATGCCAGATCATTGGGTAATCGAATCTGTGGAGTCAGATCTGCACGACTGGTTTTACCCGGTCCAGAAGACATGGACGCTGAATGTTCCGAATCGTGTCGTGTTGTCTCAGCCATGGAACTGGGTGAAGAGACCGGGGTCAAAAGGGGTTCGATGTGCAACGTGCACGAGGTCCGATTTACAATCGGTTGGGTTGACGTGTGAATCTGATTGTACGTTTCCAGTAAGGAGCTTTTTGTCAGACGCTCGATCACTTCCGTGATACCGGTCACCGTTTCCGAGGTACGAAATGTCAAATCGACTACAGCCCCCTCAAATACAGGAACGTGCATTGTGATGCACTCAAGACGACTTTGCATTCGCGGCAGAGCCTGGATAACCGATTGTACCACGGTTGGGCAACGTCCAGGAATGATACTCTGCCAAGCTCCTCGACCCTGACGCCAGTTCTGAATTTGTGCAATAAAACGGTAGTGAGTTTAATCGGGGATTCGTGAACGATAGAGTACACTGAATGGAAGGTTCCTATAATGTATGGATGAAATCTATATGTCAGGATTATTGAAGCTTATCATTCATCCACAGAAGATCGCACATCCCGTAGGGATGAAGGAAACCACAATCTTTAACCTGGTTAGGGAGTAAAGTTAGGTCTAAACGGAACGCGTACGAGTCTGGTTGAGTGGACAATAAAAAAAAAATCCACTAGGATAGTCGTATTGGAGGGGAGAATTGAACGGGACCGAGCTAAATCATTTAATATCCAGGCGAATGCAATGATTTGGGCAGGAGAACAAAAACAGTTACATAACCGGTCACGTGTGTGCGTGTATGCCAGGGTGCGAGTGGGGTGGGTGTGTGTGTGTGTGAAGAGGAGCAGTGAACGAAACATGTGGGGAGTAACATCCGGGTCTTGGTATTCACTGATCAAAAAAAGACAGACAAAGTTCAAGTTATCGAGTGGTACAGGTCTTTCTAAAAACGAAAAACAGCCTTAGAACAGGTCCAGATAAGCTCAGGTGAGGCTTGAATGAGTTGATATAACCGAGCACAATATGGACTCAGCTTATAAACCCGGCGAAGACAGTATGCCAGACAGACAATGGGCAATTCACGAGTAATATTGTATAGACATGTGGCAATGAGAGGTCCTAATACTTGTGCTGTTAGAAAATAAAGATACTGTGCCGGGTAAAGCTGCGCTTCCTCAGAATTTCATTGTCGGTCGTGATGGAGAAGCCTAAATCTGATTCCTTCGAATATGAATAAAGAAGTTACAATGTATTCATGGTCATTTCGCTGCATCTGTACACGTGCATACGGCAGTCAAAGTGGATTTTATATAGTCAGTGAGATAAAGACATGACCGTCAATCACAGTAACACAAAGAATGAGAGAGGGAGAAAGTAATAGGGAGTTATTGCGGTGATCCTGACCTACCAGATGTCGCATACCACGGAGCGATACGTTTTAGTTTTCGGACCACTCTAATGAATCAAACTTTCCAGGTGACGTCAGCACTGCGTCTCAGACAGACGATGAATGACGGCAGAAATACTAGTACGCAGTTGGCAGAGGTTTGGAGGACCAATTAACTTGTTTTTTTTTACATATTTTTTAATCCCGATGATTTCTTTCAATGAATGAAATGCTATTCCTGTGACCTTCTCCTCGCGTCTCGGTTACGTGGGATACTGTCATGCAAGTGTGATCGAGTGCTTACGTGGCATCTGTGATTTATAACTTATGATTCGTATTTCATGATCAGTGCGTATTACAACCATTATAGTCTACCTCTTAAATATCTATTGTATACCTGTTTTACGTCAAACAAATAGAAGTATAATGATTCCTGTTTTGTCATCTGTTATCAAACGAATCCACCACAACTTTTCCATGCAAATAAATCACAAACTAACATCCTTCTTTTTGTTCAGTGTCTGCTCCATCGCTATGTGTGTGTGTTAAGAAAGACCCGAAAAGCTACGAATCATAGATTACGAAACAAAAATCGCACTTGCACTTGAACGTAAGAAAAAAACGTACTATAAATACTACAATTACTCCAGTTAAACACAAGTACAAAGCTAATATGACTAACCATTTATGTTGTTTGGATATATATAT